TAGATAGATAGATAAAAAAATTATAAAGGCACACACACACACAAGACACTGTAATAATAAGAACAAAAATAAAAACAGATATCCAATTACATTAGTCATATCAAACAAAATACAATATACAACAAATATATAGAGATAAAATAAAATGCAATACAGATAACAAAACAAACGGTATGAGTAACGTAGTGTGTGCATAGCCCATACGTAAAAAGGCAGCACCTCAGTGTATTGTTTGCAGCATACAAGCAGCAGACCATGTTCCATGTTCAGGCACTGCCCAGAGACATACGCGAGGAGGCATGTAACAAGACCATAGATTCTAATCAGCTCTATTACATTATCATAAATAGTAATAATAAAAAAAACTATAATAAAACAAGAAATAGGTATAACATATAGGCATAAAATATATAGAAAATTATTATCGATTCATATAATAAAATAAATATGATAAACAAAAGAGAAAATAAACTTATTGCATAGAGGTGTTAAGTGTTAAGTGTTAAGTGTTACCACTATCAAGCAACCAAAACACATAGCTTAAGTTTTTTTTATTTATTTATTATTTATTTATTTATTAAAAGAAAACCAAGGCTATTCAAGTACATCTTAAATAAAATCAATATATATGTCATAATAAGCCACTGACAGGCTTTCACTAATAACAATAGACTAATTCTTAAAAAAATTACATCACTACGTATAAAGGCATTATAAAGTTAACAGAGAATATGAAATTAATTAACAAGAGTACAGTAACAAATAGTAAATTTATAGAAATATATACATATACATGATTTTCAATAATTAGGTTACTTCTTATAATAAGTTCAAATTAAAAATCATTTATTTATGTAGGTCATTTTAGCCGCTTATGAACGTTAAATATTTTATATTATAACTAGCTATTCGCCCCGAATTCACACGGGTGTACATTTATTATATACATATAAACCTTCCTCTAGAATACATCTATTAAAAAACCGCATCAAAATCCGTTGCGTAGTTTTAAAGATTTAAGCATACATAGGGACAGACAGCGACAGCGACTTTATTTTAATTATTTGTTTTTGTAATTATTTGTTCTGTCCAGTTCAGTATTAAACATTCAAAATATTTTTATTCATGTAGGTCTATTACAGACTCTTATGATATGTCAAATCCAATTTTATTTATATGTATATATCAAGTATTGAGTATAGCAGATCGACAAAAAATAAGAGGAAACATGATCTGTAACAACACAAAGTAGGCCTGTTATTGGTATATAAATAATAATAATAATAATCCTCGGACATTTCACACAGCGCCATCTAGTCCCAACAGTCCAAAGTTAATCTGAGCTTATGTTACTACTGATATAAATACATAGATATTAATTTGTAAATATATATATATTATACTTAAAAAAACACCCAGACCGATACAAACAATCATACTCATGAATACAAATGTTTGTGCCGTGCTAGGAATCGAACCCGCGACTATCGGACGTAAAGCGGTGTGCTAAACAACCAGACCACCGCGGCCGTCGAGTGCGAGGTACATATTTATAGTTATTGGATTTGTATGTCGTTAAATCATTATTATTAATAATGATTTAACGACTAGCTGAAAAGCGAATAGCTGAAAAAATAAATTTATTACGACCTCGGTGGTCTACCGGTCTAGCACATCGCTTTACGTCCGATAATATAAGATATATCCGATAATATAGTAAAAATCGGTTATATCAATATTACGAACAGACACTCCAATTTTATATGTATAGATGTGCAAGTGACTCTCATATTTATTATCATTGTCCCTGAGTTAGTCTGTCGGTTAGTCAGTTCAGTTGAGAACAACTGGCAAAAAACACAACTGGTACATATTTTTTACGTATTATTTTGTGTCAGTTTCACAAAATATTATTAAAAATTTTAAAAGGAAAATAATAAAAATAAAATAAAAAATTATTGCATCGGCCGGGAATCGAACCCGGGCCGCCCGCGTGGCAGGCGAGCATTCTACCACTGAACCACCGATGCTGATATGCCTTTGCTTGAAATTAATAATTGCTTATCGACTGATTTAACGGTACATTCACACTGACGTAACTTTACTTGATACATTTTGTAACACCTGTTTCAATAACTCAATGACGAAATAAACCGTAGAAAAAGTATGTTGAAATATTTATAATATGTAACGGATACGAGTCTGTCAGGTGAAATTTAATGTAATAAAAAAAATTCTTTAGTCCTCTCACTGAAATAATAAAAATAAGAATAAAATTATTTACATCAACAAATATACATGTATGGAACACAGTAACTTAGATACATCAAAATAATAATTGCATTTAATAATGTCTAGTAAGACAAATTCAATATTGTCTACTAGGCACTGCTGTGTCTAAACTGTGTCACCCCACCTTACATTTTCCTATTGTTATTTAGTATATAAGATCATTATTTCTATGTACATATTGTCAGTTTATTATCATCTGTAATATACATCGTCTCGACCAACAACATAGTATCACTCACCCGCAACACACGCATACACATTTTATAAGACAGTATTATAATTATTATTATAATAATATTACAAAAAAAAACAGAGTATATTAAAAAAGAAGAAACAGATATAATATTTAAGTCTCATCCGTCATACTCGTGAACGGGTGCTGCTTGTGTGGACTGGTCTGCTCTAATCACTATGACTTATTTTCTCTTATTAATTGTTTAACCAGTTGTTGTATATTGAATGTTTTTTTTTTTCTATTTTATTATTTCATTGAATTAGTGCTAATCGGTGGTTTGTATTCATACACTTAAACTTAAATTGTAAGTAAGAATAAATTATTTAAAAGAGCAACACACAAGTTTCTTGCTTGTTCTTCTTGTGATGAGACGGCATTCCGAATGAGCGGTGGATTAAAAAAAAAAATGTTATGACTATTCAAAAGTGCTCCAATGTAAGTTTATTTGAATAAATGATTTTCTATTCTATTCTATTCTATTCTCAACATAACATTATGTGACTGCTGTCCGTACTAGGTCATTATAATGACCTGTATGAAGAATATAATAATTACATTAATTAATGTGTATACCAAAGATATAAAAAAAATTATTTCATTATGAAAATATATTATACTACTTGTACCCGCGACTTAGTCCGCTTGAAATTTAACTTGATTTTTCTAAAATAATATTGTTTGACGGCCTCGGTGGTCTAGTGGTATAGCATGCCGCTTTACTATCCGATGGTCGCGGGTTCGATTCCTCGCGCGGTTCAAACATTTGTATTCATGAGTATGATTGTTTGTGTCGGTCTGGGTGTTTACTATGTATAATATATATGTATTTACGAAATAAAAATATCTATGTATTTGTATCAGTTGTCTAGTACCCATAACACAAGCTTTAGCTAGCCTAACTTGGGTCTAGATGGCGCTGTGTGAATTGTCCTGAGATTATTATTATAAAGTAGCCTAAGTTAGACCTTATTACATCAGGTACCTGCCAATAAAAGTCCCGTCAAAATCGGTGCAGCCATTTCAGAGATTAGCCGGAACAAACAGACAGACAGACAAAAATGTATAAAATGTTATTTATATTCATATGTATGTAGTAACAAACGGTTATTTCAATATTCAATATTACATATCAGCAATATTCTTTTAAATTAGAAAAATAAGGTTAAATTCCACGCGGACGAAGTCGCGGGTACAGCTTGTAATAAATATAATTATATTCATTCATTCATTCAAACTTTAAGAGATGTATGTAACTATTGGAGTGGAGTTCTTACCTTTTTCCAGGATTTTCCACCAATCACTTTTATCGTTCATACAACACGACTCTACTTTTTCATTAATCTGCTTGATATATGTCTTGGTCTTCAACTTCCTCTCTTTCTTTCTATTCTTCCTTCTATCGTCGTGTGTCAAGTGCCCCAACATTTTTCCCGCCTATTCCCAATTTTTTTTTATACTACTATGGTGGCAAGCATACGGCCCATCTGATGGTAAATGGTTACCGTGGCCTATGGATGCCTGAAACACCAGGGGTGTCACGTGCGCGTTGCCGACCCTTAAGAAACCTTAATATACCCTTCTTGAAGAACCCCATTCTGTAGACATCATTGCCTTGCCTTTATCCCATTATTTGTGGTCGGCGCAGTATGTCATTCTCTTCCACTGCTCTCTATCAGTCGTCATATCTAAACATACTCTTCTTTTATTCATATCATCTTTCACACAATCCATCCATCTTTTCTTAGGGCCCTCCCTTTACATCCATCCACATTCATATTATACACTTTCCATAAGACATGGTCCTCATTCCTCCGCATAACATGCCCATACCATAACAACCCCATGCTGTAGTATCGTGAGAAAACCTCGGCAGGAAGAATTCCACAACCTAAGTGTAATAATATCTATGATCTGTTTCTTCTCTTCAACCCTTTGCATCATTTCTTATTTTATAGCTATACTAGATGTGCCCGCGATTTCATCCACATTATATTTATACCCTGTTATTCTGATATAAAAGCTATATTGCTGTAAAGTTTCATCAAAATCCGTTCAATACTTTTTGCGTGAAAGAGTAACATACATACATACTTACAAACTTTCGCGTTTATAATATTACTAGCTTTTGCCCGCGGCTTCGCTCGCGTTAAGTAGTGTTTTTGCGGCTTTACTTTTGTTTCCTTTCTTAGGAGATGACTACGTCATAGTAGCTTTATGCATACAAAGTCTCACCCCGATCGGTTTAAAATTGACAAAGTTTCATACAAACTTTCATCCCCTATTTTATCCCCTTGTGGGTAGAATTAATCAAAATCCTTTCTTAGCGGATGCCTACGTCATAACATCTACCTGCATGCCAAATTTCAGCCCGATCCGTCCAGTGGTTTGGGCTGTGCGTTGATAGATCACTATGTCAGTCAGTCAGTCACGTTTGAGTTATATATATTTAGAATAATAAGTTAATAATTTCCAGGTTACGGCCACATAGCTCCCAAGACGCAAACAGGCAAGGTGGTGACTATCTTCTACGCGATCCTGGGCATCCCCCTCATGCTGCTCTGCCTCTCCAACATTGGAGACGTCATGGCTTCCTCCTTCAGGTACCTTGTGGATGTTAATCACCTTTGAAATTAATTACGTTTAAATGATTGGGCGGATTTGAGCGATTTTACATTACGTTGGATTTCAACATTAAATTAAAATATTTAATGTTGTATACTCAATGTCTTACTAGCCTTACTAATATGATAAAAGCGAAAGTTTGTATGGACGGACGGATGGATGGATGGATGGATGGACGGATGGATGGATGGATGGACGGATGGATGGATGGATGGATGTTTGTTTTCACACAAAAACTACAGATCGGATTTTGATGAAACTTTACAGTAATATAGCTTATACATCACAGTAATACACATTCTATCAATTTCATGCACGTAAAACCGCGGGTATAGTTAGTATTAAATATATAACGTAAAGACAATTTTTTTTAATATGCCAAATTTAGATGTAAATAAAATTTCAATATGCGGAAACGCCTACTATTTTAGAATAGTGATACTTCTGTGTAAATAATTGCTAATTACTGTACAGAAGGAGAATTCTGAATTTTACCTATAAACCTCAGATAATATCATATTACATACTGCCTGTATTAATTTAAAAAATCCCAGCGACATCTTTTAGTACAATATAGGAATGTGTACCTAAGTTGGCAGTAACATTATGGCTGGTTCATCCGTCATACTCGTGAACGGGTGCTGCTTGTGGGGACTGGTCTGTGGTTGCGAACACTGATTAGATTTTTTGTTTTTATGCAATATTATATGCTGTCACTCTATTCTCCCGAATTTTAATGACTGTGTATTATTGTAAACATGTACATTTATTTGAAAAGAATACGAGTTGAGTTTCTTGTCAGTTCTTCCCATCACGAAATCATTCCGAACTGACGGTAGATTTGACATATCAAAAGTCTGTAATAGACTTACATGAATAAAGATATTTTGAATTTGAATGAATAAATATGTGGTTTGCAGGTTCCTGTACTGGCGCGTGTGCTGTTACGTGTGCACGCGACCACCCAAACGGAGCCACCGTCACCGTCATCCTTCCACGAGGTTAGCTTTTTTTATGTAAAGTTAAATAGCAAACAAACTACCTTCAATAAAAGGCATCTTACAAAGTAAAGCGGCTGTAAATAGTCATACACCTGAAAAATAATAGAATAAGTAGCAAAAAATAATAGAAAGAGTAGCAAAAAAATAATAGAAAAATAGCAAAAAATAATAGCAAAAGTAGCAAAAAAATCATAGAAAAAGTAGTAAAAAATAATAGAAAAAGTAGCACAAAATTCATAGAACAATAGCAAAAACCAAGTAAGTTATTTTACGATGATTTACGTGACTATACAGTCGGTTAGAATACAAGTGTAAAGTAAGAATAGCAAATAGAATAGAAGAATAGAGGATAAGGATATGTGAAGAAAAAAAGAGGCAAAAATGTAAATTAAAATTAAATAGCAATAAGTTAGAAGGTAAGAGAATGTATTACAATAAGACCGAAAATGTAAACTGTGAAAAATCCATGTTTTCTTTAAATACATACATATTATACATAGAAAACACCCAGACTGATACAAACAATCATACTCATGAATACAAATATTTGTGCCGTGCTAGGAATCGAACCCGCGACCATCGGACGTAAAGCGATGTGCTAGACCGCTAGACCACCGAGGTCGTCAAATATTATATTGTGTGTTTGTTTGTAACAGACGCTCGATGCGTGCAGGCAGCACGCGGGGATCGACGCGACGTCGACGACCACTAGAGCGGGCCCATTCTGATACTGATTGCAGGTATTTTAACAGAAATAGAAATAATCTTTCATCATCATCGCAGCCCGGAAGACGTCCACTGCTGGACATAGGCCTCCCCAAAGATCTCCACGACGATCGGTCCTGCGCTGCTCGCATCCAATGCCTTCCCGCGATCTTGACCAGATCGTCGGTCCACCTTGCTGGAGGCCTTCCCATGCTGCGTCTTCCAGACCGTGGTCGCCACTCGTTTATTCAAATAAATTTAATACAAGTACTTGGTATTTCAACAGAAATAGAAATAGAAATAATCATTATTCAAATAAACTCAATACAAGCACTTTTGAATAGTCATATTTTTTATTCTACCACTCATTCGGAACGCAGACTCATCACAAGAAGAATGAGCAAGAAACTTGTGTGTTGCTCTTTTGAATAGATGTTTTTTTTATATAAATTATTACACAATTACAAGTAAGATGCGATAATCAACAAAGAAACTGCCACGCATTTGTTATTAGTGCTCATTATTAGCACGCAGTAACATAATTTTAAATGCAAATCTTTATTTAATAATAAATTTAAAAAATTGTATTGGTGTAAACCCTATTGGTGACAATCAATCAATCATAAAATGTTTATTCATGTGGGTCTATTACTCTTATATATATGTCTACTACATTCTTAATTTACTCTTATATGTTATAGACTCTTCTGATATGTCAAAAACTACCCTCATGAATCACCAGGTATCGTGACAGCGGGTACAGCAGCGGGCGGCGCCGCCCTCGACAGCCACCAGCTCCGCCGCCCCTGACCCGCGCCGTTCGCTCGCAGCCTCCACTATCTACACACACCAGAGGACATGGTAATTATATAACTACATTATTTTTCGTTTAATTCTAAACATTACGATTAATTTATTGTGATATGTATTACCTATTTCAGACACCAGCTCCTCACAACAATTCAAATTCAAATTGAAAATCATTTATTCATGTAGGACATTTTAGCCGCTTATGAACGTTAATTTTTTATATCATTATTTTGATTTTTTCCCTACCGTCCAGTTCGGTATATAGTATATATTCAATTGAGAAGAACTGGCAAGAAACTCAATTTTAAAGCCAGTTTATTTACAATGTATATTTATATAGGTGTCTATGTCTAACATTAAATGAAAATCCAGTGCATGAACAACTATTGCCACGCACGCTCGTCATTCAAGTAATCGTTTAGTGAGTAATAGGCTTTGCTCAGTAAATATGATTGAACAGATATTTTGAATTTATTTAAGGGTAATTCCAATATAAATAATCTTTATTCAAACTTATTACAAGCACTTTTGAATAGTCATATTTTGATTCTACCACTCGCCGCTCCATAAGTCCTTCCTTTGGTTTGGAGTACCTGTCTAGTCTGTTTGTAATGTTGAAATAACCGTTACTACATGCATATGAATATAAATAAGGTATATACATCAAAATAACATTTGCTACTATTTTTGTCTGTCTGTCTGTTTGTTGTGGCTAATCTCTGAAATGGCTGGACTGATTTTGACGGGACCGTTTTTTGGCAGGTAGCTGAGGTAATAAGGAGTAACATAGGCTACTTTTATTTTAGAAAAATAAAGTTAAATTCCACGCGGACGAAGTCGCGGGAACATCTTGTCAAAAATAAAATTAGAGCTCTCTGTACTAGGGATTAGTCACTGCTAATTTATAGTCTCAAAGTAGATATTTTAGTTTTACGTTTATTACATAATTTTTCATCGAAATCATTCAAATACAACAAATTTTAATCAAAATTACCTGGGATGTTATGGATATGAAATTTAGGACACGGATAGGTTTCGGATATAGGAATGATTATTATACCGGATGCGGATATGAAATTATTTCGGATTATCCGTTAGTTTCGGATAATTTCGGTTACGGATATTAATTTTTTAAGGAATTTCAAAAGTAAAATACAAATAGCTAATAAAATGGTTACATAATGTGTCTCAATTAGGCTCCGCCGCTATCCGATATTGTCCAAAACTTTTATTTCGGATTCGGTTACGGTTACGGATATTTTTTATATCGGATATCCGATAGTTTTGGTTAAGGTTACGAAGCTCCTTAACATCACTGAAAATTACATCAAGCAATGTTGATGTAATTTTGTTTTAAGGGAAATAAATTTGTTACTTCGGTAGTTATCATATTTGATATTGTGCCAGTAATTGTTCGTTTGCAATTATTTCAAAGGTACACGGGACTATGATCGAGAAGATTATTCCCCGGTCCGCCACGAGAAGTATGCACGAGATCAATATGAAGACGATGATGGTAAGACAGCATTGCGTTATGTTAGTGTTACCAAGCCCAAATTTAAATAACCAGAATTGAAATTTAAAAAAACCAGGACTATCCAGTTTAAAAACAGAACGCAGTGATAGTGTTGCAATAGTTATATTAATATGTAGTAAAATTCAAGTAATTAATGTAAACAAGTTTTTAATAAAAAGTGTTTGATAAAATTATACTGATGAAAATTAGTAATTAAGAGGCGCGCATATTTTAAAAACCCAGAAAGCTGCCAAATATCTATTCAGGACTTCCCAGGATACTTCAAAAACTAGGAGATGTCCTGGGAAAACAGGACGGTTGGCTACTTTACGTTATGTCCAATATCTATAAGTAGACTCTGCCTAAAATTGATACGATCTATTTATTTACACATCCAACTATTATAAGCTAAATGTATGATTTTTCAGAGGATTTCCCGAAGATATCGCTTCCATTACAAGATTTAGAAGCAGCATTAAAGGATTTGGACAACCATCAAATGAAAGTGACGTCACATACAGAGCTACGTAGCAAATCACTACCCAGACCAGCAAAATCTAAACCAGATTATGGACCTCGAAGAGATTTTGACGATACTAGACCTTATGAAATTGATAATAAAGATATGTATGAAATGCACGATCTGCATGATGTTGATTACGAGAATTATAAGGAAAGGAAAGCGTTAGAAGAAAGAGAGAGAAGACGGAAAGAACACGATGATTATAATTATAGAGATAGAGTCTACGATCCTGATGATGAGGACTTTGAATTTGATCCTCCGAGAAATAAAAGAACTAGACATGATTGGAGGTACGGTACAGTTAATATCAACAATTATAAAATAAAATTTATAATAGCCTAAACTAAATTAAAATTGTTTACTTAATAGAAATATTCAAATAAAATTTGTTTATTCATATGTTCATAGAATAGAATAGTAATATTCTTTTCATTTCATTATTATTCACCTTGCTCTTTCTTCTCAACCATTATAGGCTTGTATATATACTACTTTATTATTATTATAAAGTACAAAACAATTTAATAATTGTTTTGCACATTTTTTTATATATGTGGTTGTAATTTTATATATACATCGGTTGTGGAATATAAAGTCTAATCAATTACATTTAAAATTGTAATAGTTCTTGTTGCTAAGTAACAGTTATGTTTTGCTGATTATCCGCTTAAATTCAAATTCAAAAATCATTTATTCATGTAGGTCATTTTAGCTGCTTATGAACGTAATTTTTTTTATATTATAGTTTTTTCCCTACTATCCATATATATAGATCCAATTCAGAAGTATTGGCAAGAAACACAATTGAATTACTTTTTTTTAAAAGCCAGTTTATTTACAATGTATATTTATATAGGTGTCTATGTCTAACATTAAATGAAAATCCCGTGCATGAACAACTATTGCCACGCACGCTCGTCATTCAAGTAATCATTTAGTGAGTAATACTTTGCTTATTAAACCAGTAAATGTCTCCATCATCTTAACAATTTATCAGGACAGAACGTGGTCGTTCTGAATACTATGAGCGTGATAGAGAAGATGTGGATGATAGACGGCGAGGTCGGCGGGCCCGGAGCGCGGTCTATGACTACGAACATCGGTGGGCGGATGACAGAGATGTGGAGACTGGCCGCGGGAGACGACTCCGCAGGCTGTATACAGTGGACGACACCCCCAGGCAATACTACAGATATGTAAGTTACAAAAAAAAATCAGGCAGACATTTGTTCTCAAACTCAAAAAATATATCCCTCACACTCATGAACGGGTGCTGCTTGTGGACTGGTCTGTTTCAGTTACGACTGATTAGACTGCTTCCTTTTGCAATAGTATATGCCAGTGGTCACTCTTTTCTCCCAAATTTGAATTTAAAAATGAATCTGTATTATTGTAAACATGTACAATTTGTTTCAAAAGAATACGAGCTGAGTTCCTTGTCAGTTCTTCTCATCTCGAAATCATTCCGAACTGACGGTAGATTTGACATATCAAAAGACTCTATAATAGACCTACATGAATAAAGATTATTTTTTCTTATCTCATTAGGTGTTATTTTGCGGAAGACCATTTCACTACTTAATGGATTTATATAATTTTGTTTACTTCTACTACAATTAGCATGTGTGAGATCAGAAATGTTCAGTTCGGAAACTTGACTACCGTTACCACCTTTTTTGTATTCCCCTTTTGCAAATCATTTATTTGATTGATTTAATAATTTTCATTATTATAATTACGTCTTATATAAATGAAGTCACGGGTTTTATTGATGTTTGTACTAATTTATAAAAACTATAATATATTTTCTCCCAGATTGAAATTTAGATTGTAAATGAAAATTTACTTTTAAGTATTTTTTATTCTAAGTGGCATTGTAAAGAAGTACTTTCAAAATATTTTATAGGTATAAGATTATTGAAAAAAATTGTTACATAAATTGTAACCACACTTAATAATGTCTGAAATTTCTTTATGTACAATTAAGATTCGTTTTGTTGCAGTCACCGTCGCCGGATCGCGATGACTGGAGTGATGAAGTCGTAGTTATGCCAAAACGACATCGGCATCAAGGTAATTATTTAATACCACAACTAGGTCTTCTTAAAACTAAAACATGTCTGCACTTGTTAACTCGTATATTGAAACGGGTGTGATGTGCCTGTACCTTCACACAAGCACCATTCCAACGCCTGCTCGTTTCGTGCCAGCAAATATCATATCGCAAGAGAGAGCAGGCGCTAGGTCAACTACCATACTAGGGACATTGCACATCACTTTCCTTAATCATATATATACATAAATATATATATGTATATACACATTAAAAATTTGAAAATTGGTATACAAATAAATAAAGTCGAAGTGTCAGTTTATAATTAACTTTTCATTAAATGCATATAAAAGTACATAATAATGGTACTAAAATCAAAAGATTTTTTGTCTCTCTGTCTGCTAAATTCCGAAACGATCAGACTGTTTTCGACAGGGTTCACTCGAAATTGACTAATAAGGTGTAACTTAGGCTAGTATTATTTTAGAAAAATTATTTATTTTAATATGTTATTTTTTATATTAAAATACATAAAAATTCTATTATTAATTCCACGCGGATATAAATAATCATTATCAAGTTATAAAAACAGTGGTTTTTATACCACCACTTAGAACCTATTTAGCTGGAACTTGGAACTTATTTATACAACTTAATTTTTTATATAGTCTTAAATAATGTATTGCTATATATTTTACAGCGTGGGGTTCTCGTCAATCTGAAATATATCCATTTCCGCCGGAAGTGCCCGCAAAAGAAGAGGTAGGTAACAATAAACCAGTCGGTATTGTTCTGTGTTTTGCCGCGCTCAGCTACATTGTGGAATCACGATCCAGCAATGGTATTTTCGAACCGATCTGATATTGAAACCTTCAAGAAAAGAGCTTATTCCTTCTTAAAAGGCCGACAACGCACTTGCAATACCTGTTGTTGCGTGAAAATAAAAATTATTTAGTACATCAAACATTTGTATTCACAAGTATGATTGTTTGTATCGGTCTAGGTATTTTCTATTTATAACATGTATGTATTATATTTACGAAAAAAAAAATATATTTATGTTTTTGTATCAGTTATCTAGTACCCATAACACAAGCTTTAGCTAGCTTAACTTGTCTAGATGGCGCTGTGTGAATTGTCCTGAAATTATTACAAAAAAATTGCATAATCAGTATCCGTAACCCAAACAGATCGATCCCCACAAGCAGCACCCGTGCCCCATGCACGGGTGCTGCTTGTGAGGATCGATAAATCAAATAAATGAGTAGTAGTAGACGGTAGTCAAGTTTCCGAACTGAACATTTCTGATCTCACACATGCTAATTGTAGTAGAAGTAAACAAAATTATATAAATCCATTAAGTAGTGAAATAACACCTAATTAGATAAGAAAAAATCATCTTTATTCATGTAGGTTTATAACAGACTCAGTCAGTGCACGAGTATGACGGAATAGATTTCTTTATGATATTCAGATAAAGCCGGTGCCGATCTGGTTGTGCGTGTTCCTGGTGGCGTCGTATATAGTGGCGGGCACGTTCCTCTTCAAACGCTGGGAAGGCTGGGCCTACCTGGACGCTGCCTACTTCTGCTTCATCACACTCACCACCATCGGATTCGGGGACTTCGTGCCCGCACAGGTGAAGATATACAAAAATAAGTGTGTTTTTTTAGCCTACCTGGACGCTGCCTATTTCTGCTTCATCACACTCACCACCATCGGATTCGGGGACTTCGTGCCCGCACAGGTGAAGATAAGATATACAAAAATAAGTGTGTTTTTTTAGCCTACCTGGACGCTGCCTATTTCTGCTTCATCACACTCACCACCATCGGATTCGGGGACTTCGTGCTTGCACAGGTGAAGATATACAAAAATAAGTGTGTTTTTTTAGCCTACCTGGACGCTGCCTACTTCTGCTTCATCACACTCACCACCATCGGATTCGGGGACTTCGTGCCTGCACAGGTGAAGATATACAAAAATAAGTGTGTTTTTTTAGCCTACCTGGACGCTGCCTATTTCTGCTTCATCACACTCACCACCATCGGATTCGGGGACTTCGTGCCCGCACAGGTGAAGATATACAAAAATAAGTGTGTTTTTTTAGCCTACCTGGACGCTGCCTATTTCTGCTTCATCACACTCACCACCATCGGATTCGGGGACTTCGTGCCCGCACAGGTGAAGATATACAAAAATAAGTGTGTTTGTTTAATGGATAATGGAAGGCACCCGCCTGCGCTAACGGTTTACGCTGGCGGGGCACCAGTGGAGGATGATAAGATGAGCATGAGGTGTCAGTTAGCACATCCTGACAAATTGACTAGGAATTTTTCTCGATGGTATTTAGGAACCTCGTGGAGGTCAACCTGATATGGTACATTACTAATAATGGGGTCATGAATCATCACATGGGTCATCACATTACTAAAAAGCCCTTTCCCTCCTGTAGGTAACGACGTTCAGGTCAGTTAGCTCATCGTGACAAATTCGCCAGGAAACTCCTGGCCAATTTGTCACGATAGTTCCAGGGAGAATCGCGTGCAGGTCTACCTGATATGGACTAATAATCTGAGGAATTGTTCGGATTAATACCAGCTGCTGAGTTTCACCACCGTACCACCCGTTAGAAACTAAAATACCTTCCTGATCATCTGGATGAATGGCGGTCTTCCACAGTGCGGTTTTCTAGAAACTTTTTGGCTAGCACAACCACATTGTGGAATCACCTTCCAGCAATGGTATTTCCGAACCGATACGATATTGAAACCTACAAGAAAAGAGCTTATTCCTTTTTAAAAGGCCGACAACGTACTTGCAATTCCCCTGGTGTTGCGGGTGCTCATGGGCGGCGGTAATCACTTACCATCAGGTGAGCCGCATGCTTGTTTGTCCCCTGTGTTATAAAAAAAAAATGGGGTCACGTCCACATTACTAACAATCTCCTTCCCTCCAATAATAGATCCTTCAAGGAGGGAGATCTATGCATAAAAGACGAATTCTGAGACAATCATAATATACCTATGACGACCTCGGTGGTTTAGCGGTTCAGCACACAGCTTTAAATCCGATGGTCGCCAGTTCGAATTTACGTTAAAAACATTTTTATTTATTAGTATAATTGTATCGATCTGGGTGTTTTCTAAGTATATTGTGTATGTATTTATATCAGTTGTCTACTATCCAAGCTCTGCTTAGCTTTGGACTAGACGGCGATGTGTAAACCATCCTGAGATAGATACTGTGTTTCCAGGGTCAAAGTCTGGAAGATCCAGCGGCTGCAGTCCACTCCATAGCGCTTTGCTCTCTGTACCTGCTGTTCGGTATAGCATTACTGGCCATGTCGTTCAACTTGGTGCAGGAGGAGGTGCGGGCCAACGTCGCCTCCCTGGCCACAAAGCTTGGCATAATCAAGCCAAGGGACCAGCACAACGACACCGACACTGATTACTGACTTTCAATTTTTATATAATTATTAAAGAGTAATTTTATACAAGTTTATGGGGATCGGCGGTGCCCTCAGACTAAAGTCGTATCCGTCAGGAGGGAGTTGTCCTTCAGCCGCTCCATAAGTCCTTCCTTGGTTTGGAGTGCCATCTGCACTCGCCCCCTATCGTCCGGTGAAGCTGTAAAGGCCAGCTGCGGCCAGCATTAGAGTAGTCCGAAAAAAATTTTTTTTTTTGTAATGGTATTATATAATTCTTTATCTGTGGTTTTATCAACATATCTGTTGTACAGATATAGTTAAATTAAGGTTGTGGATTTGTTTATTGTTAATTATGAAAGTGTCCGAAATGTGGCAGTTGTTTAATGTTATAGATTTTTAATTAAATGTAAAATGTGTTGTATGTTCTCGAATCAATCAGAAGAAAGAATTTTTTATTTAATACCTATTTACAATTTCCATTGAAGTAATGATTGTTACCGTCAATGGTCACCGTTCACCAGCGTGCCCCGCTGAAGCATATTTCAGCTACTACAACGCCATCTGGTTTGAGTAAGATAACCACCACAATATATTTTTATTAAATTAATATTATATATATATATATATATATATATATATATATAATATCCCCTTGGGCACTTTGTGGCTCAGACGTGCCGTATAGGTAGTTTTTTGTTGATCCTTTTTCACTTGTTGATCCGGAGGCCTTTTGTTGATCTATTGCCAGATGACCATATATAAATGTTGATCCGTTTTGAGCCACAACTGTCACGACGAGTAATAATAATAATTAAGCGATTTATACACGATTTTATACAAATCCACCTTTTTGGCATACGAGCAGTTCTTGATCCAATTCAAACGGGCCAATCAGGGTGCAGCATTTGCCAAGGGCTTCCTCATTGGCACGTTTGGGCTACTACATTATGGCTACAGTAACTTAATAATGTCTAGCTAGTATTTCAAAAATAATAGTCTACCTAATCTAAATATTTATAGAAATCAGTCTGGAGTAACGTGACTCCAGATCAAACCTCAATACTTGTTATTTTTTGGATGGGAATCTTTTCTTTTGTAACAACGTTACTGAGCGAATAAAGAGAAGACGCAACGGCGGATCCAGGGGGGAGCGTCATGGAGGTCATGGGAGTCATGGGGGCGTCATGACTCTCCCCCCCCCTTAGCCCAGAACTTAGGTAGACCACTAATTGAACTAAAAAATAATGAAACAGCAAATTTTTTTGCACGATCGGAGTGTTGGTGCAGTAGTATTAATTATAATTAAACATTGTTACTTAAAACATAACAGTTAAAGTACTATAACACTAAAAGCAAAATAGGTATATTCAAAATACTTTTTCAAAATAAATTACCCTTTGAGTTTTTGTTCAAACCTCAGATATTATATTTATTTTAGGTATATCAATCAATACATAGTATAGCATAGTACAGTCTGTCTGTCTGTCTGTTTGTTCCGGCTAATCTCTGAAATAGCTGGACCGATTTTGACGGGACTTTTTTTGGCAAGTAGCTGATGTAATAAGGAGTAACTTACGCTACTGTTATTTTAGAAAAATAAAATAAAATTTCACGCGGACGAAGTCGCTGGGGCCAGCTTAGGGTTCATTCCCGGGAATTCTCGGTTCGAGAATTCCCGGGAAATTCATGGGTTTTGTTCCCGGGAAATCAAGCTCGAGAAAAGTCGAGAACTCGAGAAATCATGTACCTATATAGATATTAAATTGCCCTTTGTTTTGTTGCGTGGCGGCGCAATAATTTAAGATATTAACATTTTTGTTTTCTTTCATGTTATTTTTTTATTTTGTAGAAACCATTTTTGTTTACGTTGTTTTTATTTTCTAAATAAGCAGCCAAAAATGGTGCTGTTATTATAAATATAAGTCTAATTATAAGAATAATTAGGTCCTGAAAAATTGAAATTGGCGTTTTGTAAGGGAATAACCTGAAGTATTTTTTTCAAAATATAATATATTTATTTAATCAAAGTACCTATGTACCATTTCTATTTATGCACTTTTGCCTTTTGTTTTTGCACTTTGGACTGCCCCATCGGAGTTTAATTTTTTCCCCTTGCAAGAAGTTATCCAAATTTCGAAACAAATGGTAATCTGTTGGAGCAAGGTCCGGGAAGTACGGTGGTTGTCTTACACATTCCAATTGAAGCTCTTCTAATTTGGTAACTGTCTGTTGTGCAGTATGTGGTCAAGCGTTCTTGGCGTTTGACCAGCCTCGGTTGTTTAGCAGCTAGCTTTTACATCATGGTTTCTCAATTGCTGACAATACACATTCCCGAAGTGACCAACACCGGAAATAGCCCACCAAACGTTCACAAGTAACATTTTTTGAGCCAATTTTCGCTTGGGGCAGGATTTTGATGGTTCGCCAGGGTTTAGCCATTGCAATGAGCGTTTCCGATTATCGTACAAGATCCACTTTCCATCACAGGAAATGATTTGATTTAAATTCATTATTATGCCGGTTGATTAATGTAACGCAGCAGGCTATGCGCGTTTGTCGATTTACTCCATTGAATTCATGAGGGACCCACTTTTCAAGCTTTTTCACCTTCCCAATTTGCTAAAGGATTAAAACAGTTTTGTCACTAACACCGCAGCCTGCAGCTAACTCGGATGGGTTTGCGATGGATCCGCTTCCACAATAGCCTTCAATTCTTCATTATCTACCTTGGATTCCGGCCGCCCACCTAGATTGCTTTGCAGGTCAAAATTTCCAGAACGAAAACGTTGGAACTAAAAATGCACGTGTTTTCTTTTGCGAGACCACTTAGCACCGTGCAGCACTGGTGCTACAGCGAAACTCGTATTCGTAAATAACGCGATACTTTAAGTTTTTTCATTTTGTATGCTGTGAGTGACCCATTTTTTTTTTCGGACTACTCTAATGCTGTTGGCCGTAGCTGGCCTTTACAGCTTCACCGGACGTTAGGGGGCGAGTGCAGACGGCACTCCAAACCCGCGGAAGGACTTATGGAGCGGCTGAAGGTCAACTCCTGCCTGACGGATACGACTTTAGTCTGAGGGCACCACTAGGGGTTCAAACTCGGCTCAGGCCGTCGTAATTTCGATCCCCGTTTGAATTGGACGGGGGATCGATCGGAGGGGCGCCCGGGGGCGCCGGTGTGGAGCGCCCGGGCGCGCCGGGCGCCCGGTTGAATGCGCGATATTGTGTGTTTGAGGTCGTTGTCTTCGCCGGCGAGGACGGTGTCGTGTTTGTGTGTGTAAAAGTGTGGTCGGGGTAGAACGGGTGGGCCCGTGGGGAGGTTACCTGCCGTTATGGGGTCGTCGGAGTCAATGAGCCTCGGGCGACGTTGTCGCGTATGTCTGATATTACTCCTCGGTGCGTAGTCGACCGCACTGACTATAAGCGGGTTAGGGTGCGATTGGGCAGAGTCGAAGTAGCATCGAGACGCTTCCTTCATAAACTGCTTGACGGAGGGCAGACTAAGATCGCGGTGGAGGTCTACGCTGCGAACGAACCACGGCGCACCGGTGGCTCGACGCAGAAACCTATTCTGTATGATTTGTAGTCGGTTGATTAAACAGTAGGGTATGTGGGCGAATACGGGACTAGCGTAAGTCATGATGGGACGGATGCAAGCCTTGTATAGTGTCAGCTTGTTGCGAAGCGACATTTTACTGTACTTGTTAATAAAAGGATAGAGTCGGCTCGGCTCGGTCGCGGACACGCTTGATGTGAGGACGAAACGTTAGTTTCCTATCTAGGGTGACGCCGAGATATTTCGTTTTCGAAACCCACGGGATGTTTTGGCCGAATAGTTCGATCGGGTGATTCATAGAGTCGAATTCCCTGCTAAGGTACACTGCTGCACTTTTTTCGGGATTGATTTCTATGCGCCACCGACGGAATCATTCGCCCAGTATGGTTACGGCTTTCTGAAGCTGTCTGGCTATTGTCGCACGGGACTTGGCGGATGTAAAGAGAGCCGTGTCAACGGCAAACAGCGATATTTCGACTTTTAAGTCGGAGAATTCAGGGATGTCGTTGGTGTACAACGAGTACATGAGTGACCCAAAGTGAATAGCTGTATAAATTTGGAAATAGAATTTCTAAAAAAGAGGAGATATTTGAGATCCAAGTGGCCAGTATGACAAAACGCCAATTTCATATGTAAGGACCTAATATTATTTCTCTATTTAAAACAAAATTAATTTATTCATAATATTAATGTTTTTAAATATACTCAATAAAAGTTTAATTTGATACTTTTATTTGAGAGGAAAACCACTGAATTTTTTATCGTTATTAGAACCAAATAATATGAGAAAACGTACGTAAATGTAAATTTCTCGACAACCCGAGAAGACCCGAGAAATAGACCTCGAGAATTCTCGAGACCCGAGAAATTGAAAAGCTCGAGAAATCATGAACCCTAGGCCAGCTAGTCTATAGATATACCGAGATTTAATGTTTAAGTTGCTATTATGTTATTGACAAAATTTTACTGTAATGTTACTATTACGTTATCCTACACAATTTGTATTATTTTGGATGAATAAATAAATAAATAAATAAATAATAATCTATACATCTATACATTTAATAAAAATTGGAGTGTCTGTTTGTAATATTGAAAAAACCGTTTTTTACTACTTGCATATGAATATAAATACGGTACATACACCAAAATAACATATTTTACAATATTTGTCTGTCTGTCTGTTTGTTCCGGCTAATCTCTGAAATGGCTGGACCGATTTTGACGGGACTTTTTTTGGCAGGTAGCTGATGTAATAAGGAGTAACTTAGGCTACTTTTATTTTAGAAAAATAAAGTTAAAAACCACGTGGACGAAGTCGCGGGAACAGCTAGTGTATAATATATTAGAGATACCTACGTGTTTTTTTATTGATGACTAGCTGTACACGGGATTTCGTCCGTGTTGAATTTAACTTTATTTTTCTAAAATATAAGAAGTTAAATTCCACGCGGACGAAGTCGCGTGT